AGAGAAACTTCATGATGGAAAAGGAATTTAGAGATTGCGTACTCTTCTGCCTTCACAGAAGGAAACATGTTTTAAAGTTTAAGTGGATTGCTCAAGAGCTGATCAGGAGCTGGTGGCAGAACTAAGATTAGAACCTGGGTCTCATGGCTTCCATTGATGTTTTGTTTGTTTTCATTACATTACATCTGAGATCTGCTGTACACATCAGTCAGGTTCAAATACACCAGGGGTTCTCAAATTTAAACTTTCATTTGAATCAGCCTGAGGGCTTGTTAAAATATAGATTGGGAATCCACCCCCAGGGTTTCTGATTGAGTGGTAGATCTGGCATAGGGCTAAGAATGTGCATTTCTAATGAGATCACGGGTGACATTCATGCTGCTGGGTCTGGAATCATACCTGAGATATACTGAAGTTGTCAAATGGGACAAACATTGCCCTTTTCTTCCTCATTAGTTTTTTCAACACTTTTTTATTAATCAATATTTACTGTATATGAACCATGTACCTGACATGTTTGGTGCTGGAGACCAGAAACATGAAGATGACAAAGCTCAATCCTCTTTTCGAGTTCACAGTGGGGAGGGACAGATGCATAAATAATTACTGAGCAATCTTTTAATTGTAGTGTTAGAACTTTATACAAAGTATAATGGTTGCACTGTCCTGAAAGTAACGACAAAAAGACTTTTCAGGGATGGCTTTGCGGGAGAGGTGACATTTGGGCTGGGCTTGGAAGGGCAAGTGGGATTTTTCCAAATGGATCAGAGACAAAAGGATATCCTTTTCAGCTGAAGGAACAGCAGGTGCAAAGGCATGGAGAGTGACATCTCTAGGAAGAGTTGGCTAAATAAGAGTGGCAGGAACATGGGCCAGAACAAGTCAAGGAGTGGAAGATGAAGGTGGAAAGATATGGAAATTGAACTAATGAAGGGCATTCCTTCTCCTGTGAAGGAGTCTGGATGGAATTCCCCTTGTGTGCAGCAGGGATACTGAAAGGTTTTTAGGTGGGATGTGCTTTAAAGTTACTCTGACTAGAGTGTGAGGGAGGATGAGAGGGGTTTCCTGGAAGCAAGTATCAATTAAGAATCTATTCTAGTAATCTACATTAGGAATGATGATAAGGCATCCAAAACAATAGCAATGGGAATGCTCAGGGAAGAGCATTAAATGGTTTAAATAAGGAGGACTTGCTAACAGATCAGAGGTGAAGAATGAGAGTAAAGAGAGCCATACATAATTCTATAGTTTCTAGCATGGATTCTATAGTTTCTAGCATGGTCAGCTGATGAGGTGGAAATGCCATGAACAGAGAAAGTAAATAGGAGAAGTAGGTTGGGGTGAAGTAAGTTCATTTGGGTCAAGTTGGGATGCTGGTGTCTGTAGACAGGCAAGTCGAACGCCCTATTATGGCTGGAAAATAAGAGTGTGAAGTTCAGAAGAATCGTCCAAAGTCAGGAGAGAGATTAGGGTAAAGTCATGGAAATGTATGAGCCTGCTCAGGGAGATGTGAATTTCTTGCCCTGGATTAATATTCAAATTGCCATCAGAGTGACAAGTGATAGAATCTCAATTATAAAAAGGAAACTAAGAGATTAATGATCCATGTTAAACTAAGAGATAACCAAGTTAAAAATGGAAAATCAGAGTTCAAAATTTCCAGTTTTGACATCTGAACATTTTGAGAATGAATGCTAAGAAAGTAATTATAGCAACATGAATCCCCAGTTCCCAGTTCAGGCTCTTCACCAAGCCACTACTGCTTCGTTTCCTGAGGCTTTGGGAAATTTCTTACCTGCTCCAGGCCTTGGTTAGCTCAACCGTAAAACAGGGCTGCTGAGAGGATTTAACAATTCCTACAAAGCACTTAGCATAAAGCTTGGCACATAAAAAGGGTGCTGTAATGATGTATGTGTGTGTGTGTGTATTCAACAGTGGAACAATTTGGAACAATTTAGCTAGAAAACAGAAGAAAAAAACTATCCAAGAAAGCTGCCAGTTGGGGCGCCTCGGTGGCTCAGTGGGTTAAACCTCTGCCTTCCGCTCAGGTCATGATCTCAGGGTCCTGGGATCAAGTCCTGCACTGGGTTCTCTGCACAGCAGGGAGCTGCTTCCTCCTCTCTCTCTCTCTGTCTCTCTGCCTACTTGTGATCTCTGTCTGTTAAATAAATAAATAAATAAAATCTTAAAAAAAAAAAAAAAAGAAAGCTGCCAGTAAAAGAACAAGTAAAGACAGTAACTGTAAAGACAAATGCTATTAGATGAATTTTTTTGCTAATTCCTGAATATCCAGAATGGGGGGGTGCATATTTGGTCTGGCATTCCACCTACTAGGACTATGATACCATAAAACACACCTGACTCATTGTATTTGTTTTCTATTGCTGTGTAATAAATTGCCACAAACCTGGAGACTTTAAGTGAAACAAATGTATTATTTCACAATCTCACAGCATGACCAGATACTCTGCTTGGAGTCTCGTTGTGCTGAAACCAAGGTGGTGTTGGGTCTGTTGTTTGGTCTCATAAGACCTTCTTCCCAGCTTACAGTTGTTGGAAGCATTCATTTCCTTGTAGTTGTAGAACTGAGGTCGCAGTTTCCCTTGTAGCTATCACTCTCAACAGCTCCAGGAGGCCTGCACTTCCTAGCCACATGGCCCCCAGCAGCATCTCACAGGGATGTTTGCTTTCTTCTAGTCCTGCAGGATCTTACCTTACACTGAATCTTCCTCTTGCTTCTAATCTCTAACTTTTCCCACCTCTGACCTCTAGAACAAGATTTGATGGTCTTATGTGATTAGCCCATCCAGATAATCTCCCTGTCTTAAGATCAGCTGATCTGGGACCTTAATTACATCTACAAATTTCCTTCAGAGCAGCACCTAGGATGGTATTTGAGTAACTGGGAGAAAGTGTGTGTACACCAGGTTTCTAGACCATCTTAACAATCTTGCCTACCACACTGCCGAAGCACATGCAAGTTCAGTCACAAGACTGGGCAGTGATTTTTAGCAGCATTGCTGCATCTAACACTTGCCCTTTGGGTTATTTCTCTACACTCCTACAAATGAACAAGTTGCTGAGTATCTGAAAGGCCAATTTAGACGAGTGACATATTTTCTCGCCATACTCTTAGGATACTTATAAATGATGTGTAATTATGTCTTTCACCTCTGACTCTGTGCCCCTAACACCTATATAACCATTGGGTCAAGGCAAGGATTTATCTGTCATTGAAAATAAAAGTGGCTTTTTGACTCAAAATTGCTTACTATTCCTGAGCAAGATTTGAGAAGTGTTGGTTTGATCAATGTAGTCCCGGCAATAAATCAGTTGAGGCCAAGGCTGGTTTGGGGGGGAGGTACTTGAACATACACTTGCCCTGAACATATATTTAATTTAGGAGCAATTTATTTTGTTCCCCAATCAGCTGGCTTCATTCAAGAGGCCCCTAATTCAGACACAACCATGCTGAGAAACAACTAATAAAAAGGAACAAGGGGCAAATGCTGAGGCTGAAGTGCAAATCACCGCTGAGATGCTTAACCTGTAAGTATGGTCTCTAGAATTGGTCTCAGGTGAAACTCCGTAACTTTTTAAATTAATCTGGACTTGGAACACTGCAGTGCTCCCAGCAATAACAGTCTCAGCAACTGGCCTGGGAAGAGAGACCTCTCACCTCTCCTTCCCAACATATAGCAAGATCCTGAGGCTCAGTCTCTATTTGGGTCCTTTCATATGTTCAAGACATACTGGTAGCTGGTCACAGGATTCCGGGCTAGTCAAGGCAATACACAAAAGGAACAGGAGGGCACTTAGCTGGCTCAGTTGGTTAAGGATCTGCCTTTGGCTCAGGTCATGATCCTGGGGTCCCAGGACTGAGCTCCACATCAGGATCCCTGCTCAGGAGGGAGCCTGCTTCTTCCTCTCCCCGCTCTCATTCTCACGCTATCTCATGAATGAATAAAACCTAAAAAAGAAGGAAAGGGAAAAAAAAAAAAGGACCAAGAAATGTTGCAATGGTTTCCTTTTGTTTTGAAGATTTTATTTATTTAGAGCATGAGAGCATGTGTGAGCTGGGGAAGGGGGAAAGGGAAAGAATCTCAAGTCTCAGGGCTAGTGATCCTGAGATCATGACCTGAGCCAAAATCAAGAGTTGGCCACTTAACCAACTGAGCCACTCAAGTGCCCCAGTGTAATGATTTCTTGCATTGAGGTACTTAAGTCTCTACTATGTAGACGTTTAGTTAATAGATACCTTGGACGTCATGAACATTGTTAGTGTCCACATATATGTTCACATTTTGGTTTGTGTTTTAAGGAGAACTGTAAGGTCATTTTAAATTACCCTTATTTGTACTTTATCCCCTCTCCTTTGCTAGAAGTAATTATGAGTCTTTGCAAATTTATTTCCATACCATAAAGAGATTCTGAAGCCCATGAACCATAATTAAAACGGTGTTCTTACATTAGCGAGTAATAATCCACTGGTTTTTGAGCCTGTTTGCCCTACTCACCCCACTTTAACCACAATAAAAGGGAAGATAATAGGAGTACTGTGTGTACTTCCCCTAATGCAGGACTAAAGTGGCATGTCCCTTTTGTCTCTGAAGATGAGACTAAATCTCTAAAACAAACTAGATTTCTGACTTTGCACTTACAGAAATCAAAGCAACTTTTCCAAAGTTTAAAAAAAAAAGAAAAAGAAAGAAAACTGTTAGTTTCAAATTTAACAAGCTTATTTTTGGGGGGTGGGGAGGAGTGTTATTCCCACTTAACTTCCCATAGACATAGTAAAGAATTATTTTACTCAAACCTAGTTAAACAGCCCCAAGTTGGGAAGAACCAAATGTATGTTGGCAATATTCTAGTGAGCAGACAAGTATATTTGGAAAAGGCTCTTATTTGCTTACACACTAGTACAAACTCTGAGATGCTAAAATTATATTAAGGATAAAGACTTTTTCTATTTATCCAATAGATCAATCCACGACCAAAAGTTAGATTTATGTACTTTGTTTTAACTTAAGAAAACGTTAGGAATAGTCACTCAGCATTAGATCCAGGCACTTCTACATACTAGAAAGCAACAGGTCTGATAGGAGTTGCTCAACCAATCTTTCAACTTACACACTGTGATTGGCAGCTGAACTTAACTATCTTTCTGCTCTGAAAAACAGTTAAGTATAATTTTATGGAAAAGCTGGGGTATATATCAGAAGTGAAAAAGACTGGTAGGAAGCACAGAATTCTCTTAGAAATGAACTGTCAAATTTTAAGTCATTATCTCAAAAGCATGTCAATTTCATCACAGAATCACTTCCAGCAGTTGTAGACAAAGAACCAAATGTTATTGTTTTTAATGATAAATGTGAATTTCTCTCAAATTTTTTGGTACTTTTAATTATATACTAATTTTTGTTTCATAAAGGTAATTCTTGCCTGTTTGGAATCACCCTCGTTCTGAAAGACTAGAACAAGAACTGAACAATCCTAGATGCACCAAGGACTTGCTGAATGACCCTGGGCAAACCACCAGGACTATTTTTAAAGTTTCACTTACCACCAATGAAAAAATTATGAGCAGTACACAGATAAAAAGTTTTATGTACTTCTGTACATTGCATGATGCCAATCCAGTGTTAGATTGTTAATAGGCGTTGACCCAATTATAGAAGAAGTAAAGAGAACTATTTAAAATAATAGTTTAGTTCATTTTCCAACTTGGTTTATCATTTCTTCTTCAGTCTTGTGGTATCCTCAGGAATAAAGTCTGTCAATGTCCATTTGTCCAGTATATCCCTAAGTCCCATGCTTGTTCTGGTGTCCTGGGACATGGACAGATGATAAATTCACTAGTAGTACTTTCACTCAACACGGAAGGCCTTCCCTTTGGGGTCTGAAAGGATGACTACACCCCAACAAGCAATGCCTAGGAAAGAAAAAGAAAACAAAAACAAACTGTACCTCACATGCATGTTACACCTCAGTTTACTAGGTGCTTCTGTATATGCCATCTTATTTAATTCTCACAACACTCCAAGATACATTGCCATTACATTTCTCTCTTAAGAGTGAAACTCAGAAAAGGACAAGAAAGTTCAGAGGGAAAAAAAAAAAAAATCGGTTACCTCCCCAAGCAAGAAAGTGACTTAAGGAGAACTGATTTGGGAAATCTAATTAAAAAGGTAAGAGATCTGAAAACCCATTCAACTGGCTTGAAGAGTAAAAAGAATTACTGCATTTTACTGTAAGACAGCTTAACAATCATTTATAATAATAATAAATTATTGCTATAGGTAAGGACTGTGGGCCACTTTACCCATGGTACACACAGAATGTGGGCTCACAATTCATGTCTAAAATGAGACTTCAAAGCCCTATTTCTTTTTTTTTTTTTTAAAGATTTTATTTATTTATTTGACAGAGAGAGCTCACAAGTAGATGGAGAGGCAGGCAGAGAGAGAGAGAGAGGAGGAAGCAGGCTCCCCGCTGAGCAGAGAGCCCGACGCGGGACTCGATCCCAGGACCCTGAGATCATGACCTGAGCCGAAGGCAGCAGCTTAACCCACTGAGCCACCCAGGCGCCCACAAAGCCCTATTTCTTAAACCAAAATTATGTACCCTCACTCAGACTTTCTCCAGGATCTGGAGGGGGGAGGAAAAAAAAATGGGTCTGGCGCTCGCTGTTACCACATCCTGATTATCTGACCTTGAACACAGTATTTCTTAGTCTTTGAGCCTTAGTGTGCTCAGAGGTGATAAAAGTATGGTTATGATCATACCTATCTTTAATAGCTATTGTTAGGATTAAAAAGACTGAAGCTGGTAAGAGTTCTCAATACCGTGATTTGTCTTAAATGAGAACAGCGTCCCAACAACTTCCTCCCTGCCCCTGCTTCTCTGTTGGCGTACCTCCGCCACGTGACCAGTCCGCAACCCGCCCACGCGGCTGCCACCCCCTTCTCCCCCTCCCACTACCCAAAGGCCCCGCGTTGTCCCGACTCTCACTGATGCCGAAGACCATCTGCGTAATAGTCCCTGGGCCCGGGGGGTATCCCAGCTTCATGGGCTTCCGCGCCACCCAGTAGACGTACCCGCCCGCCCCTATTAGCCCCGTCCCTGAAAGCACGCGACAGCTCCAGCAGTTATTAAATAGAGGGGCTTCCGCTGGAGAGGTCGGCGCTCCAGGTGCAGCGAGGGGCGGGGGCTCGACGGAGCTGGTGGCTTCAGGAGGCGCAGCAACCTTAATTGGCTCCAGAGGCTGAGTCACTAAAGAACCCATGTTCAGACGCTCGGCTTCAACTGTGGGAGTTCTACGGAAGAACTGACGTAAAATATACAGCCGGAAAGCAGAGCGCCGGCGCACTGCACCGGAAGCAGCTTGAGGGTCTCTGGGAAATGTAGTTCCAGCCTGCCTCCGACGGAAAAAGATGGTGGTGGGCCTGATAGACGGAGCAGGCTGTGTACCCTACATCCGGCTGCAATCACTTTCAGGATTATGATTCAGCCAGTCCCCTAAATGTCTCAATTCTTAGTGTCCTTAGAGGAATCTGGGTTGCTAAATTTCTTTCCTAGCGCAAAAAGTGAGACCTTGAGCACGTTACTTGACATGTCTGGAGGGGTGTAACTCAAAAGAGCTAAGTTTTATATGTGCCTAAGTATATGCTAAAGCGATTATCTGCAGTATGCCATTTAATCTTCCCAAACCAATGAGATATTAGTTTCCCAATAAATAATAAAACTTGTTAAGTGGCATTGCCATAGTTGAAACCAATGCCTGTGTCAATACAAATTTTTTATATGCCACCTATACATATTGTCAGTGCAAAATGAACAAAGTATAGCTTCCCTGGAAGGAAACATTCAAAGTTGGAAATTTCCTTTATCGATATTGTGAGGGGACTACATAAATATAATCAAGGTATTAAAAATGGGTTTGAAGGGGCACCTGGGTGGCTCAGTGGGTTAAAGCCTCTGCCTTCAGCTCAGGTCGTGATCCCAGGGTCCTGGGATCGAGCCCCGTATCGGGCTCTCTGCTCAGTGGGGAGCCTGCTTCCTCCTCTCTCTCTCTCTCTCTCTGCCTGCCTCTCCACCTACTTGTGATCTCTCTCTCTCTGCCAAATAAATAAAATCTTAAAAAAAAAAATTAAAAAAAAATGGGTTTGAATTACCTGGGTAAATACTTTTCATTTCTCTTAAGTTTTATTTTTTTTTTTTTCCCCTAACATCATGATCTCAATTTTGTCATGCTCAGGGTATTGTTTCGACTCTGAGAGCCTGGGAGATAAACTCGGAATCATGCTAATGGACTCAAAGAGTTAATATAGGATCTCTTCTTGCAGGTTTACATTCTTACCATTCCTAAAGAATAGACTTTTAAATTTTGATTGCTTCTTTGCAATTCAACTGCTATAGCATCCATTCTCAACCCATTTCACCTTTCACTTCTTTTGGGTAGAGTTGCATTTGGGGAGGGGAGGTTGTTCTTAGAGGATTACTGGTAAGAAAAAACCACATAGAGTTCAGATATCATTTCTGTTAGAGGAGATGGGTGAGAACAAGATTAACTTCAGATTTTAATTTTTCTCCTTTAGAGTGGCTTAAAAATTAGCATGATAAAAAATAAACTCACCTTTCCATTTTCTACAATGGGATGTGATTTTGGGAAAGCTTACAAAAAGATAAAATAAAGGTATGGATAAATAGGTGAAAAGAAAATAATAGGAAAAAATACAATAATGAGAACACAGGTTGGCCTGCTGTTTAATTTCAAAGACCCTCTCCATTTCATTTTCTCTCTCTCTTTCTTTCTATGCGTTGTCCAGTAAGACAGAGGGTTTGAAAATTTGGATTCTATAGCAGGCTCTTTCACCATGAGCCAGCCATATGACATAGAGAACATTATTTATTCTCTCTAGCCTGTATTTATCTCATGCTTGTAATTAAGAAATTTAGAAAAGGTGATACCTAACACTTTTTCCTAACTGGAAAGTTCTGTTATTTACTATATATCTCTTTTCAGTTAGCATTGTGCTAGTAGTTCTGTACCAAGTGAATTTAATAGCATTTCACTTAGAAATTCACAATTTGTAGCTGTTACTTTTCACTATGCTTGATTCAGCATTCTATAGTGCATGTGATTTCTCCTTATTTATGTGAAAAAAACATAATTTGACAGCAATTACCAAATATTTTGATTATATACTTTCATGGATAAAAAGTTTAAGCACACAATAACATTTATGCATGCCTATTTATTATTTATAAATTGCACATTACATTATACATTATGAGGATAAGAAAAAATGATAGAAATATAAATTTTAATATTTTCTCATATCTTGATATATAGGCTTGTGCATCTCTATGGACAGCATGACCATCTAACGTGTGACTTTATTAAGTTATCTTTTATCTAAAAGCTTACCTTCTTTATTGTGCATATTACAGTTAAAGATGCCAGGAGAGGGCATATTTAATTCTCTAAACAAGCATTATTAAAATGGCCCATGACACATTTTCCAAACAATAGGCAAGATTTTAACTACTTTTTTTTAAAGTACCTTCCAAAAGATGTGCTTCTTTGCTTATGATTGCCTGAAGTAAATGATTTCAGGTTTGTCATTGCACATAGCACATGTTGAAATTGAGATGTTGAAATGAGATTGAGATATAACTTTGATTGGAAAATTATTATAAATGTTGACTCATCTCAGATAAATGAAATAGTAGGATCTGAGGATAAGGATAGAGGTTAATAAAAACAGGCAAAACTATAATTGCGGGAAGACATGTGCATTTTGCTGGAAAGAGAGTAGGGGAAGGTCGAAAGATAACTTTATTTCATTCTGTCTACTGTAATTAATTAATTAATTAATTATTTTTTTTAACTACGTATAATCTCTTTAGATCATTTTGGCACTTATGACTCACAAAGCCTTATGACCTCTCCTATTTATTTATAAATTTTAAAAATGCAAAAGTCTTAAAAAGTATCCCCCAGGCACCGAGTTCCCCTTCCCTAACACAGCCAGTTTTGTCAACTTTTTTCACAATCAGTTTTATCAACTTTTCTATCAACTTTTTGTATCTCTTTTCAGAGATGTCCGTGTTTATGTGCATATTCTTTCCTCCAGTGACTTGAAAGCTCATTCCATATCAGCCAATATGTAAAGAGCTTCTCTATGTGTTTCTAGGGTTCTGTAATAGTCCATTGTATGACTGTACTATACTGTATTTAAGTGGTCTCATATTCATGAACATTAATAGACATTTAGGCTGCTTCCGGTCTTCTGGTATTACAAATAGTGCTACAGTAAATAATCTTGTACATACGTCATATCTCAAATGTATATCTTAGAATATATTTCTGAAAGGCTATAGTGTTTATCAACTTGATAGACATTACTCAATTGCCCTTCACAGATGGTACCAACTTACACTCTCATCAACAAGCGTGAGATCTGTTTCTCTATCCTATTCCCTCAAACAATGAATTTAATAACTTTGATCTCTGTTAATGTGATAGGTAAAAGTGGTTTAATTTACTTTTTCTTATTATTAGTGATCTTAATATATGCTCAAGGACAATCCATACTTCTTTTTCTATGAACTGTCCCTATTTTTTGCCCATTTTTTTCATTGAATTGTCTTTTTCTCATTGACTTCTAAGAATTTTTTATACATTAGAGAGATTAACTTTTAGTCTGTGTTTTAAGTTCATAATTTGGTATTTACCTTTTAACTTAGATTGCACTTTTTGCCACAAACATTTTAAAAACATTTAATTGAACTTAGCTATATTTCTTTCTATAGCTTCTGAGATTCACATCATAGTTAGAAAGACCTTCTACTTTCATGGCTTCTACTGGTACTTTGATCTTTCTTTAAACACTTAAAATTTTAATATATTTGGAATTTCTCCTATTATTAGATGTTAGAATGGAATCAGCTTTTTTTTTCCCATTTTCTTTCCCCCAATCCATTTTTCTCAACTGTATTTTTTAAATAATCCATCTTTCCCCACCTGTTAGAAATGCCCCGCTTTCTAAAATACCATGTATAGATGCATGTCTATTCCAGGACTTCATGTTCTGCTTCATGATTTGTCTATATATTTATGTGCCAGTATCACAGTATTTTAATTACTAAAGCTTTGTAATGTGTTAATACTTGGAGACAGGTTCCCCCCTGTTCCAGATTTTCTTGGTTATTTTTACATGTTTATTTTTCCACATGAACTTTTGACTTAGCTTGATTATTCTGACAAAATGATGCTGACGTTTTTATTAGACTTGTGTGAAAATTGTAGGTTAATTTAGGGAGAATTGACAGCTTTATGATGTTGAGTCATCCTACACAAGGACATGGAATGCTTTTTCCTTTGTTCGTGTCTTATTGTGTTCCTCTGTAATATTTTAAAGTCTTTTTTATAATGATCTCACACATTTCCTCTCAGACACTTTATCTTTTGTGCTGTTATCGAAAATAAGGAATTTTTCCTTCTGTTGTGTCTTCTGACCTGTTGTTGTTAGAAAACAAGAAGACTATTAATTTCCATATTGCCTAACATTGAATTATTAGTGCCTTCCGGTGAACTTTTCAAGTGTGATTGATGGTTTTCTTTTTGTGCAATTCTTACTGACTTTGTGGATCATTTTTATACCCATTTCATAAACATAATTTGGAAGCATTCCTTCTTTGTATTCTAGAACAATTAAAATACCTTTGGGATTATCTGTTTTTTAAAAGTTTTGTTAGAATTTCCCTGAGAAATTGTCTAATTCAGGGACTTTATTATTTTGGTAGGGGAAGGACGGGATGTGGGGAAGGAGGTACTTTGACACATTTCTTTATTTGTATTTTAGAAATATGTTCTCTTCTTCTTCTTCTTCCTCTTTTTTTAAAAGATTTATTTATTCGGGAGAGAGTGCATGCATGTGGGCGTGCACAGTGAGTGGGGTGTGGGCAAAGGAAGAGAGAATCCCAAGCAGATTCTCTGCTGAATATGGAGCCTGACCCAGGGCTTGATCCCCTGACTCTGACCCCCATGACCTGAGCCAAAATTGAGTCAGATGCTTAACTGACTGAACCATCCAGGCACTTCAGCACTTTTTTGAATTAAGAGTTTATGTCCTCCACAATTTTCTGACATTGAATATTGTTGTGGAATATTCTGAGGCCAGGTCAATTTAATCTCTTGCATAAGTGACTAGATCTTTGTGCCTAGATGCCTGAGTGATTTTTCTTCTTCCTTCCCTTCCTTTCCCTTCCAAGTTGTTGAAATCCAATAATATTTTACCAGGAT